ACAAACTGAGGCACAGGAAGTTCCGTCTGAAGATGAGGAAGAACTTCTTCCCTCTGAGGGTGACAGAGCACTGGAACAGGCTGCCCGGGGAGGTTGTGGAGTCTCCTTCTCTGGAGATATTCAAGACCTGCCTGGACAAGGTCCTGTGCAGCTTGCTGTAGGTGACCCTGCTTCAGCAGAAGGGTTGGACTAGATGACCCACAGAGGTCCCTTCCAACCCCTACCATTCTGTGATTGTGTGATTCTGTGAAGAAAAGCTCTCCCTTTCAAATGAAGGTAAATTTAAAAAAATTCGCTGTTACGCTTTTCATCTGTTACTGTTTATGAAACCAAGTTCCATTTAACACACAGATGGTTAATTAAACAAGAATTTTCCTTGCAAGCAGAACTGAGTATTGCCTATTTACTGCCAAATACTAGTTTGAGGTATTCAAAAGTATCTTTAAAAACTATTAGACAATGGAAACAGTACAACAGAGGCCCGTAACTTTGTAAATATCAAACAAGCCCATAAAACAAGCAAGCCTACAGTATGGACATATAGTATGTAACGTAACTGATGACGACACCACACTGCATACTACCTCATTGCTGTTACTCCACATTGCAAATATAATTTCCAAATGCATTTCCACATAAGAAATCTTTTTCTAAAATCAGGAGGTACATCTCTCAACAGCTGCCAAGTCTGTTAGTACTTGTGATTGCTTTCTCAAATTTTTTACTGACAGCCTCTTACACCTCACTGTGGCAATGCTACAAAACATTTTTTCCTCCCTTTGATGTTGAAACGTTATAGAACTGGTTTTCTTCAACTCTGTCATAAGTGTCCAAAACGTTTTCCCAATAAAACTTCTTAAAATACAGAATCAATGTTGACATTCTATCTACAACATCCCATTACAAACAATAAGCCAGACCACCTTCAGAGACAAAATGCTAGCGGCAGAGAAAACCAACATTACAGTTTCATTCCATGACTTGCATTAGGGAGAAGGTCAGACTTGCTTGCCAATAATCTTTTCTGTTAATAAAATGCAACAGTGAAACCAGCTATGAAAATTCACATACAAGAGCTAATTACAACTGTAGGAAAATCCTATCAAAGAATCAGCTTAGGATGAAATGTGCCTTTACCGATGCCACAAAATGCAACTTTTCTTTCTCTGGGGTTAATCATGCAAAGTACTGTATTTATGCAAACCCGTAAAAGGAAACCAGAGGAGAAGCAGCAAAGGACTCGGAGCAATAAATGCACACTAAGCAAAAACTGAGGTAAAATAGCTAACATTTGCCATAATCCTATGATGGATCTAGTTGAATATTATCAATAATTAAGTGTCCCAGTGTTTCCTTGAGGTTAGCCATCATATACCAGAAAAGGCTACATAAGCATTCACATACATCATACATAGCCTCCATTGCCTTTATAAAAATCAGCAGTTAGTACTAGTCATTCTAGTTGGGACAAGAGCTTTAGAAGTTTGTATTCCCCTTCAACTACTTACTTTCTTTGCCTGGAGAAAAACACTTCACAGTCAATTACCATGTAGCCACTTCTGCAGCAGCAAATTTGTTGTTTTTTTTTTTTTTTTACTAGAAGTACCTATACTGCTTACAGTGCTGTATGAATATAAAAAGCACTGTTTCACAGATCTGGAGTTTCCCCATGAAACACCCTTTTCACCCTGGAAACCCTCAAATCAGTATCAAAATGATACACTGATATACATAATATACATATAGAGGCATATAGCCAATTAGCTCATTTTTCAGTGGCCAGGTGCCTTTCCCAAATCCACCAGCGCCTCTTCTCTCTCAGACTGGTGTAGATTATGACAGTAACCACAACAGCTGCGGTGGTGTATTTTGAACGCAGTTCCACACTAACAGGAACAAGAGCTCTCGGACACTGTGTGACAGAGGAGAAAAAAAATTAGTATTCCCATAGAAACTGGCATTTGCTGCATATGGTGACACAATGCATACCCCTCCACAAGCTCCAGGCTGCTGTTTTTCAGTACAGCAAGGAAAGGTCCACCCTACCTTTCAGTAATCAAAATGCACTTCTGGACTTCAGTGTGGCAAGACAGGGAAGAGGCAGAACAGATGTTGTTCTGTTCAGTAAAGCAGAAACTTTCGAAAGTTATCATGGAACTTGCAGGGAAGCGTAGGAAGTTTATGGGGGCATTGGGTTTGGTGGGTTTTTTTTAGTATTTGAATACTAAGATCTCCACCTGGTGGTAGGATGTTTCACTCTAAAGCTTAGAGCAAACACACATGCACGCACACACTCCCCAGAAGGGTCATTTGTGTTTCCCAACGCTCTTCATGCTAGTTTACAGGAATACTTGCAACAGCAAAATAATACTTCTAAAATCAGCACTTCTCCCATTGTCATCCATCACAAGAGCACTCATTTACCAGAATATTCACAAGACTCAGTGAAAGTTCTCTTCACAGACAAAATTAGTTTCAAGTAGCAGCTCCTAGCTACACATTCAGGTAAGAGTTACAGCACTGTTCATCATCCTGATGTCAAAAAAAAAAAAAGGCTCTACAAAAGCTATCACCAAGCATGCTTGATTATATTGGCAGGTTCCTACTATGAATTAGACTCCCAATGCCTACACACAAAGTATTTTTCTTTTACTACTGACTGGAGAGATTAACAGTCCTATCTAACTGGCCCAAACAAGTCTTTACTGGAATACATTGCTAGCCTGTACTGTTAGTTTCGAAAACAACAAACAAGGAATGGAATTAACCATTTCCTACAACATGCATGTTCCTTTATATGATGTATACCTACAGATATCTGAAACTACAATGAGAAGAAAGCCATTATACCCCTAGATCAAACTGAGGACTATTTGAAACGTTATGGGATACAGAGTGGTGCTTAAAAGACATGGAAATATTCACACTACCTAAACATTCAAACATAAACAGGAAATTAAATGAAGTTACACTGTACTTTAATGCAGTTGTTTATGCCAGCATTACTGTCAAAAGAAGCAGTCCCCCTAATCCTCACCCATCCGCATAAACCTTGGCCAGGATCCCCCTCACCTGCAGGCACAGGGTTGAAATGCCACCATGTAGGTCACCAGAAAAAGGGAATTTATCCAAGATGAAAGACGTGTTATAAAAAAAGTCTTAAATTCATCATAAGACTAATGCTAGAAAAAAGCTCAAATCAACTTTCAAAATTCTGACCGTGCATTTGAAAATACCTCCAAAGATGAGTATTACTATTCTGAATTTCTGTTGATGTTACTGCACCATGCTTAAACTGGTACTTGTATGAGAAAAAGACAATGCAGAATCATTCATGCAACAGTTTTAATAGACCTCTAAAGAATTAGTTTTCTAAATGTGAAGTTATTTGGAATAAATCTTTCAAACTCAATTGCCACTGTTCCATTTACACAGACTTTTTGTCAGCTTCAAAGACTAGCAGTTCCAAGTATTCAACACTACTTCAATTTTTAGTTCAGTTCTAGGAAGAAACAAATTCCAAACGCTTTACTTGGTAACATCTTAAACAGAGATATTTTATTCAAAGCTTTTTCAGACATTAGATTAATGCAGAAAGGACAAAAACTTTCCAGATTGACAAAATTACAATTATCTTCCATACAAATGTAGACTAGACTGCTAAAAGACTTGGTTTTGTTCCTACAGACTGTAAGCAAGCAAGACAATTCATATTAAAACAGCCTTCTATTTGTTAAAAAATCACATAAGAAAATTTTAGCTGGTTACACTACCTTAACAACACAACTAACACGTTTAACATGAATGCTCCTCCAGAATAAGAAATCTAAATAAAGGAAGAGAGTACCAATAAGGAGTTTTACTGCATCCTTCATCCTTTGAGTGCTTACATGCTCAGCTGGGCTACCATTTTTTTTTGTGTGTGTAGTTTTTTTGTTTTCATTTCGTTTTGTTATTGGTTTTTTTTTTTAAATTTTTTTTTTAAACAAAGCTGTGCTTTTCTATAAAAAAAGTTTTATAGCCTTGATTGTGCCATAGGAAAAAAAAGCCTGCAGTATAAAAGAGTTCATAGTATCGAAAATGCCTTCCCCTTCCCCAACAGCACCTAAATATAAAGAGGTAAACAGCAGCTAGCTAGTCTAGAGTGGTGTCATCTACGAAAATCGATCCCCAAAACACAGTGGAATATTTCTATTCCACCAAGGTTTCAATAAAAAAGACTGGCATATAAATCTGGCAGACATGGACAACATTTTTCAAACAGTACATTGTTCAGAGTCAACAATTCACATCCTGCAAGAAAGTTACAGATCTTTCTTTTACAAAACTTCCTTTTCAGTGGCAAAGGAAATTAAGGCCACCAGACTCGCATCTTAAATTCACACACAGAAAACACAAAAATACGCCGTGCTTCTGAGAAGGCTCTGTTCTGTAAGCAAAGATGACCACAATCTGAGGAACCTGGCCAACTGGAAATTCACATGATCACACAGCTTCTGTCAGATGCCCTTGGGCCTGCCTGTTATGGATAGAAAGAGTCATCTTTGAAACAAAATCCAGCACTAAAAGATTCAGCAACTCAAAATAATATACCATACATTTTTCATATATGAAATTATTAGCCTGGCATGGTCTAAGCAAGAGTCAGCACACAAAGCTGTACAACCTGTTATTGCCTGTAAGTAAAAGACTTCTAGATATCTTTCCTGTGAGAGGTAATGGAGGACAGGTACCAGAAAAGCACAACTTAAATAATTACCATATTTGAACCTCCAGTCAAAAAGCATCATTGAGTTTAGACAGGCGGTGAATACTGCAGGGAGCACATACAAGTACCTTGAGAGTTTTTATCTAAAGAAATCTCATCTCTCTACACCACTTTTCTAAGTAAAGCTACTAAGAAACACGTTAGCTGAATTACCCAATCCACAAGAGCAGGTGGATGCTCTTCAGTACTTATGCATGACAGCAGTAAAAACTCGACTCTGTATTAAATGCCACAAAGTTATGATCCAGTCATAGGTCAAAAACCATGGTTGCCAAAAAACAGTACTACCAACACAACCAAGTCTCTCCATTTTTGTCTGTTTATATATGCACACTTACAGATCTGTATTATCTTTTCTAACTGACTAAGTTATATACTAACTGAAAGGTAGCAAAGTTTTAGGCAAAGTAGCAAACTTGAATGTTGCATTACAGGAACTTATGTTTGTTTTTTTGGGTTGTTTTTTTTTTGGTTTGTTTTGTTTTTTTTTTTTTTTTAAGGAGAACTTGTCAAAACAGTAAGGTAATGAAACTCATAAAGCAAACAATCAAGGATGTTATGCCAGTATTTTCCCTTGTATTTCACAACATTTTACACTGTCACTGCAAGTTCACATCTTTCCACTGCCTTTAGAGCTGCTTTTCTTCAGCATGCAAGAGGCATTTTCTCGGACAGTGTCTTCAAATCTCTTTTCCTCTATCAGAGACAATGAGAGATTTAAAATCTGAAAACTTTAGGTAAATTTAGGTGTACCTGCTTAAGCCAAATGTTACCATAAACAATTGGCCTGAAATCTTATCAAGAACAGATATTCAGAAAAAAAAAAAAAAATCCCAAAATCTTTAAGTTTTAAAACCTTGTTTTAAGGAAAATCTGCTTCTCTCAATCAAGGGAATACCTGAAGTAATATATTTTTTTAATACTGGTTTTAATAACCCAACTTCATGCTTTCATTGTTACCAATTAAACAAAACAAAAATAAAAGAACACCCATATCCAAACAGGTATGATAGTCTCCCAAAAATTCATGACACAAATATTTGTTTTTTCAACCTAAACAATCTTGTTAACCTAAACCAAGATACCTGTTGGTGGTAAAAGTCGTCTTCTTCCACAGCTTCAGCTGCTTCATCCTCAACTTCCTCCTCCTCCCTTTCATGTATAGTTGTTTTAAAGACAGTGCTTCTCTGAGCAACCTCCTGGAACAGAGTTTTAAGACTTGACTTCTCTAAAGATCTGGTGCTGATCTCCTCAGCTTTTGAGAAATGGGAGTTCCAGCTGTTGGCAAAGCTACTTGTACTGATTTTGTCTATATACTTTTCATGAACTGCTGTGTATAAATCACAGTCTTCACACCTTAGTTATAAATCTCTTAATGGTTAAAAAGAGTCTTTCTAACAAGAAAATCAAGTTCTTCAAAATTTACTTTTTTATATGTTTAAATATTTTCTTTCAATTGCAAGATGTCATAGCAACTGTCCTACCCCAAGTTTTAACTCCTACCTTGCCAGAATTAATGCCTCATTGCTTAAAGTGAGTTTCACTGTAACATACCCCACCCCCCATAAACACACAGTTTTAAGGAAAACTAATTTAAGATACAAATCACTGAAAAGTTTACTAAAATCTTATCTTTTCAAAGCATATTCTAAGGCATTGCCCAATTCCTGGCATGCGGGCAGTGTCTGAACAAGTCATTCTTCTACTGCTTATACTCAACATAGGGAAAAAATTTTGCATGCTTCAATAGACTGCATTCCTAAATTGCAGTTAAGACAGACAGGGTACAGTATGCTTGGTTGGAAAGCAAAAGGAGAAAGCTTTACTGAACACCTGTAAAGTCCTAACAATCGTTCCATCTGCACCTTTACAGGGGATGGCACCCCAGAAAGACAAGTTTAAACACATATGAGGTACTTTACCTCTCCCTGAGAATTTTTCAGCACAACTTTCACATCTTCACCAGTGCCCCAAGAATTCTGGTTCTTCCAGATGAGGTCAGTGGGAGGGCTAGCAGTGACTCCAGCATTTGCAGCCCAGATCTGTTAAAAGAAGTCACACACGACCATTATCTGCTAGTGTTATACACTTTCATGTTATTTATTGAGTTAATGTATTCCGTTTAATTTATACTGGTGAATCTCATCCAATTACGAAAATACAAGTCTCTGTCTACCTACTTCCAAAGTTCCTTACAATAGAACACCGCTATGTTTTCTAATGCAGGGACTTTTGAATATAAAAATGCACCTGTTTATGGTCAAAATTATTGCTCCATGTAGAAAGCAAGCTTCTGAAAAACATAATTCTGTCCAACTTCTTCCCAGCAATTGATACAACCAATGCCCAATACAACTACAGGTGATTATTTTCTGAACATGTACATAGAAAGGACAACTAAAAACCTGGTGTCTTACTGACACATACAAGTCGGCCTAAAGCCCATTTCAACTAAACAGCTGAATCTTGACAACTTACTGTAACAGTTTGGCCCGCCTTTAGTAAGTATGTTGAGTTATATCTGTAAGTAGCAGAAGTGTCTCCTATTTTTCGAATCATCTCCCAACCTCCCATAGGTTGATCCTAATAAAAAAGAGAAAAAAAACATTTCCATCAGCAGTCATTTTCTGTTACACATGTAGGGTATTTTACATATAAGAATGTAACGCACAAAATTTTCAGTGAAAACATTTGTTATCACTTGATCTTCAGCATGCAATTAGAACCATTTTAGCTAAACTTGTCTTACCTCTTATTTCAAGTTAAAGCTTAACACACTTCTCAGTTCTGATGTTCTATTAACGAATGTTTATAATTTGCATCAGTTTTGTTACAGCTTGGTTCAGAAAAATACATAAATATTAAAATCCCCTTACAAATACATGATACCTTTTGTTGAAGCACAGAATAACAAACAGGCTTCTTAGAAAACAAAATATTCCTGTCAGTCATCTTAAAATGTGTTTCTACATACGCACACCTCCCGCTAAATACTTCTTTGCAAGACCTACATTATCTTTTCCTTTCAATTATTTTTTCCCCATCAACTACTTGAAAAGCACTAGCAAATCTTATAGAAAAACACATACAAGTCATCATTACAGAATAACTATTTCAAAACAAGAGATCTTTACAAGTTGTCCCACCAACAGAGTTTCCAAATATTAAACATTTGCCACTGGAGTCTGAAAACAGACAGCTAAGGTCATCTGCAACAAACACTCTTACTGAACTTAATGGATGCTGACATTCAGTTGGTCACTGTAACAAAACATACCATACTTAAAGAGGATTTAAAATATTTTCTATCTACTTTTTGTATACATAAGCTGTCAAAAACTTGTGAAAATTCCGTAAGTACAGCTTATTACACTGCACTACAAAATGTTGCTCAAATCTAGACCCCTTGCAAATTGCTGTAAAGCCATGAACCGTTCATGGCTTCTGGTAACAGAACTAATGGTCCTTCCATGGAAGGATGAATGTGTATTTAAATTAAATAAAAGAGGGGAAACCCATGTGGTACACAAAGTGGGGGGAGAAAACCTCCATAAGTTCGAACAAGTCAAGAAAAAATATGGCAGGTTGTGACTCCCTAGAAGTAGTCTTTGATTTGTCTGAATTTAGTCATCTAAACACTTAGCTGTCTACACCAAGATAGCTATCAAGGTTTCTTCCATTCAGTAAATGTAGTCAGCACTCTTAGCCAAGCAGGTAATTAAGATACACATCTAGCACCATCTGGAGGAGTCTATCCATCTCTTCATTGATTAAAGGAGACCAAAACACTTGGAACCAGACCAGTCTTTGTCATCTAAAACACCAAGACCAGGTGCCTTTCAGTGAAAGTAACAGACCTGATAATATTAGGCAAAGCCTATGTGTCACTGAAAACAAAGAATGTGGGTAACAGACTTCTACACACTGCTGAGGCTCAGACAGCACAGGAGAAGGCAAGAATTACTTAGACCTCCTCTTAAATCAAGACTGCAAGAAACAAGGTCTGGTAATTCTTGTGTCCTAATGAGACGATGCTCAATTCTCTCTTCTCCCAAACAAAGGATTCACAAAATCAGTCTCCAGTCTCCAACCCCTCCTGTGACCACTTGCAGAACTATATATGACATAGAACTTATTTTTTTTAAGCAGAATCATTCTGAGAGCAACGTAAGGAAAAGTTTTGATTATTACTCAAATGAAGTACCCTTTCATAAACAGGTATGTGTGTTCCCCCCAGTACAAACTCCAACCTATTCACAGAATGAAATAATCTGAGTAGCCATCATAAAGGTGGCTTTGGTGTGGGAACTGAGGGCTCCTGAAAACTGTGGATGCATTCAAAGAAGAAGGAAAACTATGATTTAGAGAAGCTATAGGCAAGTACAAGAGTCACAGGCAACTAATTACATTTAGATATTTATTTTGCATTGGTATGTAACTCTTTTGGGACTTTTTAAGGCAGAGAAAGTTCTTAAAAGGCTTCTAAAGTAGCCTAATGTCTGTTTGCACTATTTCCTATCAATGACAATGTTCACTGTAAAGCTTTACAGGCAGATCACTTGCAAGCCAGAACTCTGAAGAGCGATGTAACACTTTGGCAGGTGGGCAACCTAGCACTAAAACAGTTATGAAAAGCATTAGAAATCATTAAGAAGTCATCATATCAGTCCAGAATACTGTATGAAAGCTTATTTTGTGACACTCTAGTTTCTTCATGCCACCTCTTATACAGGGTGCTTTAGATCCAGGCTCAACATGAAGCCTGAGGGCTGAAAGGGTGCTGAGGATGCATTCTACCTCTCACCAGCCCACTGCAAAGTCATGATACATGTGCATTTTCAAACCTGTTCAGAGGTGTTCTTCAAGCGGATGAATTTTCCATCAACATCTATCTCCTCAACAGAGACATTTCCAGTGGCAGAGGCTGAATGGGAAATGCTAACACTACTGCTGGCTTCAGATTCCTCCACATCAATCCTCTTCCTTTTCCCTCTAGTTGTACGCACATTACGGCTTGATGAAGCTCGTGAAACTGTCACTCGCGAAGATGGGCTTGGAGAAAGTTTCAGCCTATATTGAAGAAAAGAAGAGGTACACACGTATCAGACTTCAGTTTAACTTTTTCCACTTTTTTTTATAGAATCATAGAATCGTTAAGGTTGAAAAAGACTTCTAAGATCACCCAGTCCAACTGTCACCCCAACACCACCATGTGTACTAAACCATGTCCTGCAGTGCCACGTCTACATGTTTTTTGAACACCTCCAGGGATTGTGACTCCACCACTTCCCTGGGCAGCCTGCTCCAATGCCTGACCACTCTTTCAGTTATGAAATTTTTCCCAATATCCAACCTAAACCTCCTCTGACGCAACTTGAGGTCATAAACTTTCTTCCTGTCTCCTCTTCTTCCCACAAAATCATACAGCAAAAAGGTATAGGAACATAGTAAACAAAGCATGTTACACAAATAAGTGAAGACTTCAGTACTTATTGAAGAAATTAATAAAGTGTTGTCAAACAGCTGATTAACGCTTTTGGCGCATAGAATACTGGCGGACTACTATAATAAGATCATAAAGACATCTCCATGCAGTTGTTAAAGACTGCATTCCTGGGTAAATAGAATAAGTAAAGAAAAAAAACTTTTAGGGGAACTTAAACCTTTGTAGGAAATTTATGCAAAAACCCAATAGCAGAGGAATTAGCCTAGACAAGCAGGATGTCAGTCAGAAAACAGTGAAGTATCAAACTACTTTAAATGACAGCTGTGACTCATCATGTGAAAATTCTCAGTATTGCTGAACTCTGGGGTCTGATGTGAAAAAGGCAGCTAGCTGATAAGCTGGTCAATCACAACAACTATTACTTTATTAAAATTATCCTATACTTAAAAAAGTTTGGCTAACAATTAAATAACCCTGCAATTAACCTGAACAAGAATATTAACCATGACACCAAACCTGCAAATGACAATTCATTACGTCCTTTGTGCCGAATCTTAATAGAAGAAGGGTAATTGTTCCCCTGAGAGCTATTGGCCTGATACTCAAGCAGCCTGGTCTCATGGAGTAAGCATGTCAGACAGGAGCGGACAAAAACAAACAGTATCTTAGAAACTGTAGTAAAGCACCTAATGAAAGCACCCCCAGTAAGAACTGCCCTTTAACACAGAACGAGAAATGAAGGAAGCACCACAGATACCAGCATTCTTTCATACCTCTCCTCTTCACCCTCCAGCAATTTCCGGTATGCACAGATTTCCATATCAAGTGCCAATTTAACATCCAGAAGTTGTTCGTAGTCACTCAGCTGCTCCTGCATCTGATTTCTTATCTCTGCTATTTCCTTCTCCTTCTCAGACAGTGTTTTGTGACAGTTTTCCTGTTCCTTGGCCAAGCTGTCCTCCAGCTCTTGCACTCTATCTTGCCATGCTCTGGACTAGAAAGCATTGAAAACATCAGTGGTGCGAAGGAAAGCTCACTCAAACCTCCATGCACTCTTCTATCCAGGCGATATGAATTCAAAACATTAGGTTAAACATCCTCCCCCCTTTCTGAATTCATTTGCCCATATTCAAGCTTCCTGTTCTCCACATCACCTACTACAAACGTAACACAAAGTTCCAATGCAACTTGCAATATACTTTGAAAGACCACTGCTTAATTCTTCTGAGATCTGAAGATAAGTTACTACACCTGAATTTACTCAGTCAGGAAAAACTGAGCTTAAGAGTCAAATGGTTTAAGGTGTGCTGGACAGGACACAAAGTACAGTTCAGTGTACTTCACAACCTGAAGTAATTATTCTTTGGCTTTCAGGTGTCTACCTCCCACTCCAGTTTACTACTGCCAATTCTGAATTCTGGGAGGAAGTTCCTCTAAAAGAGTAAGGGTTATTGTCAGCAAAAACCCATCCGTCTGGTATCAAAGCCTTCAAGGCTTGCTGAAAGTACAGCGGTAGGTGTTCCATGACGAAAGGTAATTTGTCATATGCTTTAAAAATCACATCAAGCTAGTAGAACTTAATATTGCACATACGGAATGGAACGCTTATCAAAGAAAGGCCAAATGACAGCTTTAAGGTCTACTTTCCCTGAACATGCTTTCTTCTGTTCGGTAGTCGCTTGAGATTTTTTTAATTAAAGGACAGGCACAGGAACCAATGCCCCACAATCACCTTGTCTGGTTACGTCACTGTTTGCTATACAGGCACTCTGCTTAGGAAGTCATCATAATCCAGAGACAATGAAAATAGGCAGTCTAAATGGCCAATGCAGAGGGCCAGTGTAACTGGTTGTCAATGCCAAGAATCAGATATGGTATTTAATAAAAGCAATTGAGTGTCACAGGGAAGATCCCAGTGGAAACTACTACAGAGCTCAGTGTTGGTAACTCAAATCAGACCAACACCAGTGATAAGAGAGTTGTCTTCTTCCAAGAGAACAAAGCTGAAGTTAGTGCTAGCTAATGGCAAACAAAACTCTACTGGTTAACATCACCAGCACTACCAAAAAAACCCCACAGGCGCAAAAGGGTCCTTTTGGTGGACAATTACAGTCAAATTGGCAGAATTTGATTTTGATAGCCCTGAAGTTAACAACCACCACCTCTGCAAACTCAGAAGCAAGTTCTCTGACCCTGCTGTCACTCCCAAGTAAGCAACAGAATACAGGCAATTAACTAAAAGTAAGAAGAAAAAACAACATCAGAAACACCTGTTGACTGAACCACCAGAAGAAAGACGATGGTAACCTAAAGGCAGAAATAAGATCCAAGTAGACAAAACTCTCGCATAACCTCATGCACATTAATTACATCACCTGATCTTTTCCAGAGACTAACTTGCCTACGTAACAGGAGAACTGTGACGACTCATACTGGTATCTGCCAAGTTATTTGGAAACTTATGAAATAACACCCCCTTGACTTATATTCCTCACTTGCAGGACTTGAAAATTCTGCATATTTCCAAGAGTCTACTGTACAGGAGGAATACAATTCAAAACATATCACAGAAAGGATCAAAGTAAAATATTAGTAATTTTGTATATTTAAAAAAAAAAAAAAAAAAATGTTTTGCTGCACTTTAAGTTACAAAAGCCAACTCCTAACATTTCTCATTTTCACTCTAGATTTTCCACTGCAGTGCACATGATGTTATTCCCACCAAATAAGCTAGTACTGAATATACGACTTGTCATACTACTTCAGGTGTGATCTGTGTGCTCTGTGACCTGTGTAATTAGTCTCTGCTCAAGACCTTGGTCTACAAATGCTCAAGTACACTTATTTCATGTAATTTCTCAGTCTCATATTTAACCTTAATCCTAGTAAAAATCACTCTCAAAAAAAGTTCTGGATGCAAAATGGATCTAGGTTGAAAACAGACACCACACAGACAGAGACTGCATACTCCAGCTCTGGCTCTGAATGTTGCTTTTGGAATCCTACACTAGGCTGCCAATTACTACGGAACAGAGCTAAATTGCTTAGAATGCCAAAAACTTTTAACACAGACCTCTTGTCTAAAACAGTCTCATCTATCTGCAAAAGTTTCCACAAAAGCAAATTAACAGTATGACCTTTCAAATACTCACTCCGTAGCAGGGCATTGCACAAAAAAATCAACTTTGTCAAAAGGAGACATTAAGAAATTTGAAAAGTACAGAATAGTAGAGCAGAAGACAAATTCAAGTCATGATGCTGAACATACTTACAAGTTAAGTGAAAGAAAGTCCTTCAATATAAAATTAACAGCCGTAATTAGGCAAGACTGAAGTGTCACAAACAACTTATTACCTCTTTCTGAAGGCTGGAGACATGGGAAGACAGATTACCAATTCGTATGCGACTTTCATTCAGTTCTTCTCTCATCGAGTTGGCTGCAGTATTGCTCATCTCAGAGGAGAGTCTAGCATTCTCAATCTGCAGTAGATGAAATTAAGACATCAGTTTCAAAGTAGCTTTTATCAAAAGAAAAATGAGTCACTAAAAACCACACACAACATTAAGCCACAAAGTTCCTCTCTGCAGCTCTAACACAATGAAACATCCCTTTCTCTTAGGGTTAAATATGGTGGCTCAATTACCATGCTGGATTGCCCTACCTGAAATCATAATCCTCTGAATATTTATTCTAGAAAAGTCTCCCTTGTAGACATTACTGAAGTTGGACTGCTAAGTTCAGTTTTCATTCTGGTCAATGTTTAGCTTTATATATTTAATTACCAAAGCGCCAGTTTTTGAGTATGCTTAAATAGAAGAAGCTAAACTGAAATTACTAATTCTATAAAAACAAGCAAACTTCTGTTAATTTTCAGCCAACATAAGCGGATTGATAATGCGCCTTCAGATTACAGCACCAGTGCCATGAGTCACTACTGCTTCATTGTATCACAACTTCAAACTCAAATAATTTTTTTTTTTAAACTGCCTACAACATTCCTGCCAAACACTACCACATCCACTTCAGCAGCACCACAAACTTATTACTGAACTTGTTGTTGCAGATGAAATGGAATCCAAGAAAACTTTTTTAAATAAGAGACAAAAAAATACAGAAACCATATACCTGAAGAGAGGGAAAAAGAAAGCCTCAATTATGAAAAGATTTTTAGACAAAAAAAAAAATGAAAAAAGTATTTTTGGTTAGATTTTATTTTAAATACATTTTTTGAAGTGAGACTGAAGACCTGAAGATAAGCAACTGAACACTGTTAAGACCGAAGACTGAAACCTATGCTAATAAATTCAGTTTGTATCAACTTCTCTGCTGTAACATCCAACTGTGTTCTTAGAAATGCTAACTGCAACAAGTATAGCCACAGAAACCAGGTTCAGCTGAGACATCAGGATCCCTCCTGACAGTAAAGCCGAATCATAGCAGAGGAAGGAAATGAAGAAGTATAACTGATTTCAGCTTAAGTGTGCTTCCTCTCCAGGAAAGTGAAAAGCAGAAATCATTGGGCGTGGTAAAATTTCCACATTCTGTACAAGGTCAGAGGACTCAGGACATTGTCTTCTCAGCAAGCCCTACTATGAAGTAAGTTTCACACAAAATACAGGACACCTTATTGATCATTAAGACTACATTACAGTTTACATGTAACATATCCACCTCCCTTGAATTCACAGTAATCTCAGTACTAATCACTTTTTTCCTGCAGTTCACCTTCACAGGGTGCTTTTTATTCTAGTATTATTGTAGTGCCTGAGGATTAAACCTGCTCCCAAAATGAGACCTGAAAAGGCAAATTCACCTTCAGAAGCACAGTAATTTTAAACAAAGCTCCATAATAAAATCCTCTGAAATGCAAGTAATTAGGGTATCTTTACACTAAATAACACAAAAATAAAGTACATCAGACAACTGTACGAAAAGACATTCTCACTTTGGCATGGTAAGTCTGTTCAAGCTCTTCTTTGTACAGCTTCACTTCAGCATCATGCTGCTCTCTTATTCCACGAAGGGCTTGGGTAAGTTGATGCTCACTTTCAACTTGACGCCCAGAATCAACCTCAACTAAGCGAGTTTCATGTTTCCTTCTTGTTTCATTGATTTCCTAAGACAAACAGAAAAATAAAATCACATCTGGTAAATATCAGACAAAATGAGTTTCAGAAGATTATCTTCTCACCAGATGGCAATGCAGATTTTAGCTAGCTTTGTGGATCAGCATTGCATGAGTTTGTTTTGACACTGAAACTCAGTGGAAACACCAGGCCATTTCCCCAGTCTGATCTGCCTAGTACATTATTTTGCAATAGCCAGTCACTGAAATAAAGAGCTAGGATACCATCAGCCTGCAAAGTCACAGGCTTCTTCCTTCTAAGAGTTGTCTGGATCTTCAACAAACACACCTAAACATGATTAGATTTTAGAAATACATGCTCCCTTTCTCTAGATATCTTCTATGCTTGCACGAAACGAAAGTACTGTGAAATTAAACAGTCACCTTCACCAAACAGCATTTTCCCCATTTATTTGTACGCTTTTCTGTGGTCTCTGGAGAAAAGGACTCCAACAACATGAGCAAAGCTGAAAATACAACTAGCAAGGAAACATGCACAGGGAATAACAGATAGCATGGTTAGGTACATTTGTTGCTGCACTAAGCTGCCTGCTGGAAAGCCTCAAGCACTACAAGAAAAAGCTGTAAAAGACAAATATTTGTCAACTTCTGTTTCCATAATTCAAAAGCATCCTGTTAGAAAGTTCTGGAGTTAAAAACAGTACAAGTACCTGTTTGAGTGTCCATTTTATTTCTTGTAAAGGGATTATGTGAGAAATTATTAACCTGCTTTCCCATTACTATGAAAAGAAGTGTGTATTTCAATACCATGCGCAGAAATTAACACGAAACAACATGATACATGAAGCCATTTTATCACAGGAAGTCTGAGTTAATACCATTTTTCCTAGAAAAAGAAAGGTGGAAGTCTTCCAGCTAGAACAGAGGTAAATCCCCTGCTCCAAGTGGGAGTTCAGACCAGATGACTTCCTGTGGTCCCTCCCAACCTACATCATTTTAGTATTCTAGAATGACCCCTAGTTGTCATCTTCCCTTTGAAAATGTGAATTCTGGAGATGAAAGCATTTACCTTCTCATACATATTTTTACGGAATTCCAACTCCTCCATGAGACTCTGACAACGGTTTTCAAGATCCACCTTCAGCAAAGTTTCATTTGCAAGCTGTTCCCTGGCAGCAGCTGAAGAAATTTCAAGCTTTAAGAAAAAGAAATAAAGAGTCAACACAACAACGATTATGTAGCAGAACTCGCATAACACAATGACCTCGGCTACCTAGAAGTACAGCTACCTACATGTTATGGTTGAACTTGACAATCAGATCCAGTATTTACACCACTAATGTCTTTCCCCCACATCTTTTGCAATCGCTTGGCACAAGTGAGTTCTACATATTTCACATTGGTAACTAGCATTAGTTACTACTTATACTTACTGCTACTTACCAATTTTCCCCTATAACATTTCAGTTTTTCTACACGGCAAATACCAGTTTCCTGGTCTCCTCAACCCATCCTCTTGAGGTGGTGTTGCTTAAGATCACAAGTCATGTGTTTCGAAGGGTTAACAAAACTAGGAAAACACTTCCCCCCCCCCCATCTTTGTCCTATCAGATGCCTAGATGATGGAGAATCACACGGAGAACCAAAAGCAGGGCAGAGAGAGTCACAAACTGTTACTTGTCAGTTATTCATTGTCTGTATTTGTGAAGGCAGATGCCCCCCCACAGCTCTAGAATTTTTCGAGTTTGACTCTTGACCTGCTTTCTTCAACGTAAATTTCGGAGTCTGCAATTTTAAAAGCACTCTATTTCACCATTCATGTTTACTAATAAACTGAACAGTACTGAATACACCTAACCAATACTGCTTCCAACGCTGACAGTGAACAACAGTTTGTTCTTGCTGTGACTACATGATAGATTTGCATCCATTTTTTGTCTACAAAGTTGCATTTTACCAGAATGACGGGTCTTACTATGGATGTATTATACATAAAGACAACTCATTTGCTGTCAGAAGCTTGATAGTTAAATATTTCTTCTCACCTCTAAAATTTGATGTTTTAAATCCTCAGTTTCTAACTCCAGACTTCTCTTATCATCAAGGGCTGTGGCCAGTGCAGCTTCTTTAGAATTGAGGGCTGCTTCAAGCTCTTGAACTTTGACTTGGGTTCCATTAAGATCAGATTCCTTTTTTGCATAGCTGGAATAAACCAGAGAAAGTGGTAAGAAGGTCTAGAAATGCTCCTAGACTGCTGACTAATAAAATAAGGTGCAATCTGAATCTTAAGCATGAGACACCCGACAAAAACATTTTGCCTTGGCTTAATTTACTCTCATTTAAATCAGCTCCTTAGTTCTGCTTTCTCTTCTGCTATAACAATAGCTTACTATTTTGCTTAGGTTGTAGAAACCTAAATATAGGGGAAGCTCGTAGCATCAAACAAGTCTGAGAGGCATACACAGCAAGGGGAAACTGTGTGTTTATTAAATATACCCCTCGTTTTCTCTTTAGCTAGCCACTGTAAAAACATCCTATCTTCAGCAGAATCTTCATATGAAGAAATAAGTTCTCCCATCAGAAGGCACTTTCCATAGGGTGGAAACAAGTAAATTATCTTCATTGCCTTTTATCCATGTAGAGGCTCATGCAGACCCACTGCCTGAGCTTCAAAGAGCCCACTGCCAATTAACAGATCAACTCCTCAATGAAAATTTATGTTTACTGTCTATAAGCCAGTCCTCCATCAGCAGACACTGTAGCACAGTGAACTGCTTTGCAGCACCCTTCTAATCAGACAGAATGGCAAAGTCCCACAGATATGAGGAAAGTTACCCAAATCCTGTCTATACAATAGTCCGTGCCATCACTGAAACAGTACTAGTGCAAAGGTACAGGTGTTTGCTTTCAAAAGCAAACACATAAGCTTTTGAAATTACCAGTCAGATTAGTCTTTGTGTCTACATAAGCGGTCAGACAATTTCTAGGGGTTTATTCCCTAAAAACGGCATATGCAAACAAGTAAGTCAAATCAGAAAAGCAAAGTAAGGCCACATAAACACAAACCTACCGTCTTCAGCCTAAAATTATTCACAAATAATGCTACAACAGGCTATCAAGAATATAGGAAAGGAAAACCATATTTAGGAATCAAAATGACTGTTGACCTTTAGATGGCACAAGCAGCTATGTTTAAATGCATAACACAAGTTCTGCTACCTTGAAGTTGATTTTTTTTCTCTGGGATACCCACATTTCTCTAGTAAGGGTAGTAGCATATAGAAGTTCTAGATGTTTATAATCAAACTATGAACATTTTACAGGAATGGACAGATCCAGGCTCAGTAAGACAAGAGCTAGCACATCCTTCTTCAGTTTTCACACTTCTCTGCAGAAGTGGGGAAAAAAAAAAAAAAAAAACAGAATTCACAACACTAAACTGAGAAGACTGAAAACTGGATAAAGATTCTTAAGGACAAGATTCAAAAGTGTTACAGCATTAATAAATTCACCACTTTTTAAAATCACTGTCCTGCTTATAAGAAACAATAGCAATGATTCTCAGCAAAATGAATGTAAAAATCAACTCACAATTTTAAAAGGAGAGACTCTCAAATTTATGAGATGCCTTTCCACGACTACATGCAAGCACATGCAATTAACATTGTGCTCAGGAGAGGTGCATGCACAGAGGCTTGCAAAAAAATATCTGTAGAAACAAAACTAACCTTTGGCTGTTTGAGCAGCACAGCCACGCGGTGGCAGGCTCAGCAGGGGCCCAGCGCACCCTCACACCTAACGCCTTCTCCATCTCCACAGCTCCATGCTGCCCCGTCCGCCCACGGCATTTCACACGCCACTCCTCAGACCCAGCGGGTCACAGCAGCGGGGTCCACAGTTTGGACGAAGGCACAGAATTTAGGCTTTGGCCATGCAGGCTTCTGCTTCGAGCTCTCCACAGTGTTCACGGGAGGCCTCTGTCCCGTCCCTCCCGTCCCACCCGGGACCTCAGCATGCAGGGAAGCTGTACAACAGCAGGGGAAAAACAGGGAAGGGGTCATGCTATGTCTGTAACACAAATCTCTTCGTCACCTATTGGGAAGTTTGTGGAACCACATCAGGCCTTTGTTGATCATTGCTGGAGAAAGCTTTATTCAACTCATAAAGAAACTGTTCCACATAGGCTCTCTCGCAAGACTTCACGCTGAAACCAAGCCTATCAAGTTGCAGCCTGAAACTAGAAAGCTGCACACACACACAGAGCCAGCCTGCCACCCACCACTCCGCCCGGAATTATCTTGGACTCTGAAATAGGAGGACTCCCCACACACCTTCAAGTTACTTTGTTTTTAAATTTTTTTAATACAAATACCTCTACCAATTACAAACCGGTAGGCAGCTGAGAAGAGAGCTCTTGCTATTGGGGTGCCAGAGAAAAAGATACATAATATGCACTAGCAACAACAATATGGTAAAAACCCAATACACTATGTGTACCACTAAATCAGGTATTATCAGTTAACACCAGCCGGAAGTACCTGCCTTGATCAGGTATTATCAGTTAACACCAGCCCGAAGTACCTGCCTTGCTTGTTTGTAACAAGACTGGCTGTGAAGCCATCTTCTAATTTAATGCAAGTATAAAAAGGGGGGGGGGGGGAAATAATTAAAATTAAGCACTATTAGTAGTTAGTGGTATGAGTTGTCTAACTATGAGACAGCTCATCCAAACATATTCTCAGAAAGAAACAGAAACTGGAGCTCAGCACTTCAAACACTGAAAGCCAGATGAAATCTCGGCAGCACAGCAGTGTCATCCCAGCCCTAAAGGAATATGGGAAAGAAGTCAAACAGATCAGAAAAGTCTCTGCAAATTATGAAAACAAACACCAAATGTATACAACATATACCTCACCCTTACACCTAGTAATTTTCACCAGGAAGAACTTCAGCCTCTCCACAATATCTAACTTTCTCCTCCACAAAAAGCCAAAGCCACATCTCAAAACAACTAATGAAGAAAATTCAAACACCTTCTTGTTGTAGTGTTCAGAAATCAGTCAGAACTGTACTCCTTCAAGTAGTTTGGGTCATGAAAGACAAATAAAAATGAAGAAATAATTGCTGACTTGCATCTTCTTCAAAGCAGCAGCTTGTCGTTTATTTTTTTACTTCAAAATGTGTGGGTCTTCTTATCCATGGAATAACAGTTTAGTTTAAAACAGCGTAGAAATAAGATGTGCTGAAATAAGAGCCAGCTCCCATTCATTAACACGGTACTTCAGGGGAAATTTGCACATCGGAAATGTAACCCAGAACATCTAACTTGTACAGACACTAGAGAACGTAAAGAACTCAGTCTCACTCCTACCTAGCATTACCAGCACAGCTCTCACTAGTGGAGTTGCAGCCACATACATTTTAGAAATGGCCCAGCACACACCCCGGCAACACAATGCAATCTGTTTTCCCCAAGACGCTAAAATCACTCAAGCATCCTGACAGCAGTAAGCGTGCCACAGTGCCACTCTCAGGAGTACAAATAACCCTGATAGCTGCAGTACATCTGCCCAGCTCACCATTAAACAAGCGGATTTCTCACACCAGATGCAGTCTAGATGAGGCACAGATTTCTAAGCAGGTTAGTTTGCTCACCATTCCCAAAACTTAATAACCTGTAAAGGTGAATAAATCAACTCACACACAACCATGAGGTACCGTGGCTAAGTTGCGTCTGGTTACCTACAGTAGATCATTTAAAGCTAATTCAGAGCTCTCAAATACCCACTTGGTTCAGTCAATGTCCAAGTCACTGAATAGCTCACTGAAAGAGGCAGGAGCCCTTTTCACGCTCTTGCACAATCACAGCTCTTCCCTCAGCCCTGAGGTTCACAAAATAACCTAGAATTTCCTGTAAACGCCTTAAATTTTTTCTAAGTTAGTAGAAAAAACATGCAGGAAGAAAGGTAAAAATAATTTTTTACCAGTTTATTCAGTTGAATCGGCCTTCTGGATCCACACAAACCACACACCTGATGCAAGATAAGCAGAAGACTGCTCCCTTCAGTGACTACTTAGATCTCAGGTATAATTTACAGTTCCTTTGAAACTGACCAAGTGCAGGATGCCATCAACCTACAGAAGATTTTTCTCACCTCCCACATGCACCTCCACTCATTTCTGCCAGTACTTACAAAGTCAAATCAAAGCTAAGCACTACCAACAGTAACCAAACCCTTCATGAAAAGCACTGGTTTTCAGCCAATTCATGACATAGCTATTCGTGTTATAACTGCAGCCTATATACACATCCAATCCAAATTACACAGTACTGCACATTCCTGGTTTTCCACTCCAGCTGTAGAGAAAAATGAAAATAAATTAAAAAAACCCTATAGTCATTAATGTTTTCTGTTTCCTTTAGCTACCAGTAAGTTTTCCACGTTTATTCCCCTACAGTAGACAAAACAGTAAGGCTATGTTTAGCAAAGAAGTGATTTACAATAATATAAGAAACACCCATCTAAAAGTGTTCAAGTTTTTCGTGTATAGATCAACATGACAATAAGTAGTTGGACAAGCTTGCCTTTCCTATAAACAAATATATGTAACTTGGTTTCAACTTGTCTCATGTCACCCGTTTTAGTTAACTGGAGACAGCTGCTGAGTGTTTCTCTAGCCACTTACAGCTGAACAGTGACCCTTCTTGAAGGGCTCAGTCCACCATGTGAATACCACTATTTTAACCAGAAATCTAGACAGAATCTTTATACTTGCAGTACATACATATAAAGTCACTACCCACTACCATATCATCATTAGACGTTCACATATCTGAGGCCACCTTTCTTTCACCCTACAGCAAATCGTTCCTTGCATTGTTACACCCTACATAGCATGGAAGATGGTGTTAGATAAGTTATATTCTTACATTTCAATGGCTTAAATTATTGTACAACAAGTTAGTCACCCCCCTCCTCGCTTCTCTGGGTGCTGCTCTCTCTACAGTACACATCAGAACAGTGACTGATTTCAGATTAAAGCTCAGAAGTTCCCCAGCCACCAATCTTCACCTCACTTCCTGAGATGACCTACAATAATTAAAATATGCTTCAAAAAGTTTTAAGTCAGCTTCCTCAAAACAGTTCCTCTAGCTCATTACAGTGTATCACATATGCGCCATGGGAAACACTGGAACAGC